CATATATGTAATGTTCTCCCTAATACAAACATACAGTAAAAACTATTTTAAATACTTTATCTAACCTATGTTAGTAAATATTGAAGAAAAAACATTCCATCCCATGCAATGTAAGGAAATCCCACACCATCTATTCAGAATTTGTAAATAGGAATGAGGGAATCCCATGCAACAGAGTCAGAATTTATGGACATGAATTAGTCTTTGCCAAGTTCCTACCAACAAATCAGATCCCAGGGGCAGAATTTTTCTTTCCATTACTAATACATATTGGGGAAACTTTTTCTCGTCAGCATGAGTTCAGCTAAATAAAGCAATGGAATATTCTATTTTTAGAAATGTTTATCATTCAATAGAGTATTACTTTTAAGTTTACAATAAAGAATTTATTGTATGTGATAATTTCTGATTATATTTTGGGAAAATATGTCTAGTTTTATAAAAGCCTCAACCTATTAAGATATTCACGACATCTTAAGCATAATCATGTAATCAGTAGTGTCACTGAGTATACTCTGGGAGATGGGCTGGTTTGGTGTGGAATAGGCCAACCTTGAGTGGAATTTACATATATTCCACAGAACTTTATTACATGGGCAGACTGTTTGATAGACATGTATGAATGAAAGCAGTAAGAATATTGGTGGTAAAAGAGGAGACCTCCACAGCAGTTCTAAGATTTTGTACAAAGTTTTATGCTAAATAATTACAAGTCGCAGAGCTTAAATATTTGCCTTGTGTGCTTTGTTTGTCATAGTTTCTTAAATCTTTGTTATTTATGTTTGCCAATGATTGCATAGTGGAAGATATCAGATTCTAATGGCCTATACTAATGCAATAAGTTACTTTCTGTAGAGAGTTTTATATGTTCAATTTCTTATATTTCCACATATAAAGTTTTGACAAACTTTTGTTTATTTTTCATGATTTTGCAGTTTTTAACTAGGTCTAGCAATACGTGGATGCAGCTGAATTTGGAACAGATAAACTTTTTTTTTCTTCATGATTTTGCAATTCTTATGTAGATTTGCACAAATTGAAACATTTCAGTCATGTAGTAATATTTTAATGGTTGTGCTTGAATGTGGAACTGTATAGCTGTAAAAAACATGTAGCAAGTTTGTCTTTCATGAAAATGTGAAAAACCTATGTCAAAATAAATCATAATCTTATAAAGACAATAAAGACTGCAGCTTACATTGTATGTACATATGACCCACTGTATATATCCTGTTATGAGTCAGATCTAATTGCAAAGTTAATAGATCCAGATTTGCTCCTAACAAATGTGCTGGCAAATGTGGTTCTATACAATATGTTAGGAATAATAAGTAGAACAAACAACAAAGCACATTATGTGATGACAGATTGGAATCTGTGTTGTTTGGAGTCGGAGCCGATCTGTAAGCAGGTAACTATATGGTAGATTGAATTTTGGTTTTTATACGAGATATTTTTGTATGAGAAATTATGAGGAGTTATTAACATCTACATTGGTCACACATGCAAAATTTGAATCATGTAATGTGTATTGAAGATGCACATCCTACTTTGATATGAATTCATTATCATTTTTAGGAATATTTTAGGATTATTTTTAATCCTTTAAGGCTGGGGGAGGGTCATAATTTACCAAATTTTGTCGGAAACGAAATCATGAAAATTAGAATGATAAAAGTACCTGTCCTTGCAAGTAAGTAAAGTCAAACAGTAAAGAACATAGACCCTGAGCTGCTGTAACACAATATACCTGCATATCAGTTTTCATTTTCTTTGTTTTACTGACTACTTGTAACAAACTGAATAAGACCAGATCTACCATGTTATAATGCAATGGCAGGTACATGTCTTTGCAGTTTGCAGTGGGGTTTGACTTATAATTGAGTATATTTTAACTAAGCTGCAAAGGAGTGATGAATATACAGTATTTCCCAAAAATAAGAAATTAAAATATATCAGAACATTTCATGCGCAGTCTTAATTATACTACAGTCTTAATTGTATTATGTAGTCTTAATTGTATTACATACTCTTAATTGTATTGCATAGTCTTCATTTTTTGGTGCAGTCTTAACAATTCAAGAGCAGTTGTAAATATATTCTGCAAACAAATATCTTTTCTCATTTGTTTTATTTTTGATGAACCTATATTAGTGGGACATGAAATGTAGCAGTCAGTATTTTTATGAGTTTGTTTTTATTGTTGTTAAAGTTTTTCAATGTTGTTTTGAGTGTTGACATGACCTTTTGAGCCTGGGCTTTCTCATTGCAGGGTCTTTAACAATGCAGGATTTAATTCATGATTTTTGTAATATTTTGTAAATTTTTGTAAATAAACTTAAAGTCAATTAAACTGTATTGGTGCTGAGGACAATGCTTAAAAACATGCTTTTTATTGAATTTAGTTATCAGTGACTTTTTTTTTAGTGCAATTACAGGTCAAAACTGGGGCCTTTGGTGGCCAAATGGTCCAAGATGTTCATCTGTACAGATCACTGACATCTTGCCTCGGTCAGTGGGGATTAAATTTTTAGACTTGGACAGCATGGGTGTGAGAGAAAGCTTACCAGTAGCTTCCTGTTTTATGATACTTCTCAATTCTTCTACACCAGATATATTGGCTGCCATGTATAGTCTTTAATATGCTGAAAAATGGCATTTAACACAAGAGAATAACAACAGGTCGAAACACTACTCTCTCTCTATAAAGCTTTCACTATATAATACTGATCATGTGCGACATATAATGCAAGGTCACCATATAATGAGATGTATTCCAACAAGGCCACATTATAACATAAATATACATTATAAAACACAAATATGGTATTAAATGATGATAATCCCCATTATAAATGGTTCTGATTAGCTAAGAATTAAAATTAGATCAAATAAATTAAAGGCACTTAATTTAATCATGTTTATATCGGTTTTTGTGAGAAATATTTTTCTATTCTACTTGCACCATTTGTCCCTGCAATAAATATGATAAATATGTCAGAAGGTGAATGTTGTTCATAATTTCCATAATAAATGTTGGCAAATCTCATACAAATAATGGGGATTGGGGAGGGGGCTTTATAAATGGATACATTTAACACAGTCATGGATTTGTGGTATTTCTATATCATTCCTGTTATTTAAGCTAAAGGATAATTGTTCCCATGGGTGTTAAATTTTTGGTTTGGTAGAATCCATGAAAATGGCAAAATCTGCTACCCCTTGAAATATACTTAATTCACAGGAAAGGGAAAAAAATCATTTATGGGACATACATGAATTTAAGAAGGGTAGTGGTATTCTGATGTTGTCTTAAAATGAGGATTCATCGTAATTACCATATATACTCATAAATAAGTTGAGTCCAACCACAAACTGCACCAACCAAGATCTGCCATCACATAATGTGCCAGCAGATCTGGGTCTGTGCATTTTGATAGAATTAATCAATAGAACAAAGAACATAAACCCTGATAGGCAGGCAAATCAGGTATGTAGCTTATAATTTAGTATGTATGATATACCATTTGATCTAAAGACTGAATGATGTAATTGCAATATTTCTTTTGCAATATTAAAAGATAATTTTTTTGTTGTGCTTTATGCAATGATATCAGGTTATATAGCGCTACATATGAACTTATAAACTGTGGAGCAGGCATTGATAAAATTTCACTTGTTTTATATATCACACACACACACACACACACACACACACACACACACACACACACACACATATATATCACTTTCAATAATAATGTTGAAATTAGAAATGTCTCTCATCTTGTACAAATACAAATAAGTCATCTAGATTTTCATATATATTGATTATATAAACAGGAATACAAATATGTTTGTATACATTTAGGGGAAAATGTTATCATACACGCTTTTTCTTGCTTTTAAATTTCATGCCTTCTACAAGTCAATCATTAACAGTATTTAAAATTTGTGAATCTTTCACTTTTTGCTTATACCATTTTCTACAAATGTGTATTTACAACTATTCAATTTCACCAGCTTGAGATTCCATCAAACCCCATCAAACTCCATCAAAGAGAATACTAAAAGATCTTGCTTCACACATCCCATTTTAATATACTAAGGGAGGTAACTATACAATGGCATGTGTTTACTAAACTATCCCACCAAAAATCATGAACTGCTCCAATATTTGTTAATTAAAATGTCTTTTAAAATATATTTCATGATATTTCTATATGCAACATATTCCTAATGTGTGACTGTACAGTTTAAATTAACTACAAGATCTGAAAGGTAGATATATTTGATATGGTTCATGACATATTTTGAAAATTAAACTATTCAGTTCATTAATACCTTGAAATGCTTTTCCACTTGATTGCAAATTGTATTGTGATATTAAATCTCGCTAGTCACAATATATATAGAGTTATCCAAAATATTTCATTATTCCTGTGGTAAGAAATGTTTTTATTTCATATTAATAAGCAAATATATTTCCTACAAAGTAAATATTAAATTTTCTCTGCAGTGTATATTAAAAGAATGAAAACTGAGAATTTCATGAATGTTTCCAATTCTGTCATTGCAGTTAACAGATTAAACTATATTATAGCATTGGTAAAGTTCCAGATTCTTTAATACATTGAGAGCATCTTTTTACAAAATTTTCTCTCACATATAATATTTTAATGTGTATTTTGTTTAATTATTACTCTTTTTAAACAGTATCTTGTTTAGTAATGTCTTTTATTAAACTGTCTTTTCTTTAATAATTATTCTTATTAAACTCTTTCCTTTAATAATTATCATTGTTAAACAATATCTTGTTTAATAATTACTGTTATTAATCTGTCTTTTCTTTAACAATTTCTGTTATTAAATTCTTTTCTTTAAAAAATTATTTGTTTCTAAATTATTTTATTTAATATTACTATTACACTCTCTTTACTGTTATTAAACTTTTTTATTTAATATTACTGTAATTAAACTCTTTTCTTTAATAATTACATGGTGGTTCAGTGGTTAGCATATCAGACTTGCACCCAAAATGGTGTTGGTTCGAATCCTACCTGGATCAGTTAATGTGTTCTGTCCATTGGCTAAGGATGTCACTCCAATTGCCTTGGCACAAGATAACCTAGTCGTAATGCTGTGTTTAAAGCATCAACCCAATCGAACCAAACTGTCATTATCTAACATTGAAGCGAATTGTTGTTATTAATATATTACTTGTGTGGATTGATATTATAAATAGTGTTAGGGTGGATGAAGCTTGACAGAACAATCAATTTTTAAATATTCCTGGGACTGATGTTTTTAATCTAAAGGTTTTAAGGATTTTTTTAATTTACTTGTTATGGGTACTTTTTTTATTGTCTTATTTCTGCATTCAGACATGAGTTTCGTGGCCTTGGATAGCTGGCAGTTTTTTTTATAACAGTTGCTCTGCCAAAATTTCAGTAATCACTTCTAGTCTGCAAACCAAGATTAACACTTCCCAATTTTTCTAATACGTATTGCTAGGAGCATAATGAGAGATAAAATTGTTAGTTTTCAACCAAGTTTTTTATTATTATAATCATTTGATATTTTTTTCTTTAAAAATGTATCTTTTGCATTTAAATTTATAATATGCATACTGTCTATACTTGTTTATAACTGGAGTTCAATTGCAAACAGCAGAGACCTAGATCTGCCAGTGTGTTATGTGATAGCAGATTTGGGTCTGTGTAGTTTTGTAGCTGGTCCTGACTTTTAAGCAAGTATATACAGTGAATGATTTATGTGGACAATAATTGTAATTATTAACCTACTATTTTTGAATTTATATCTTGACATGTAATTCATTTATTATAAACTGCTCCGGTGGCCTAGTGGTTAGAGCATCTGCCTCGGATGCAGGAGGTCGTGGGTTCGATCCCCGGTTGAGTCATACCAAAGACTTACAAAAATGGTACAAACAGCAACCTCGCTTGATGCTCAGCATTAAGAGGTTAGTGTTAGGACTGGTCAGCCTGGTGTCAGGATAATGTGACTGGGTGGGACATCATGCTACATGTCTGCAGCATGATGCCCTAGTGGTAGACATCACTATAAACTGTCACACTGCAGACATTGTAGCCATATGACTGAAAAATTGTTAAAGCTATGTTAAAAATCATAATCCCATACCACCACATCACATTTATTATGATTTGTTCATACAGTGCAGATAAAGGTCGAGACAAGAAGACAAATTAATTAATATGGAAAAGAAATCTTGTTAAATAGCAGATATCTTTCCAAAATGGAGAATAAAGGTAGTTTTATAACCACTTGGGGAATATTTCATTAGTCACTAATTGATTAGTATCATTAGTATGATACTAATATGCCAGTATCTAATACTTCATGATACATATATAATAAAACACATTATCAGATGTATAGTTTAGTTGGACTTTGAGGTTATCTTTGTATATTCTTATGTAATATTTTTCCTGTCTCATCAAATTTACCCATTTGCAATTTTAATCATTGCATCCTCATATCCATGTTATTTGCTGCCACGATTTCAATTTGTTACGTTCAGTCAAATTTTGTCTTCAGCCATTTTCATTTCCATGAGCAAAAGACTAATTAATAGTTTAATGTTATATTCTACTTTCTAGCAATCATAAAAATTTCTCCAACTGTTAAAATTTTAAATATTTTTTGAATGAACTGTTATGTTAGTAATTAATGTCTGTTATTGTCAGTTCACTGTCTAGTTGCCTCTTTTAATGTACATTTCAGTACAGATGTTTTTGGTGTGGTTGACTTCATAACATTTTAATTAAGGTTTCAATTAATGCATATCCATTAATATGTAATTAGAGATGCAGTTTAGGTACAGGTGTTGCAGGCACTTCTTAAAAAGCAGCAGCAACAACAAAACAAAAACAACAATAATATTAATAATAATCATAAGTATTTTTCATGCAGGATTACCTGTGATACCTATTCTCAATTCATAATTTTATTTCATTATATATAAAGCAAATGAATCTGATATGTTTATTATTAATAAATTATTTGGAATGTCATCGTTGATGTAATGCATTGATAGAGATTATTACCAATATTTAAGTACAGGTATAAAGTTTCAGGTATCTCTGCATTCAAATTGGTATCTCTGCATTCAAATTGTTTAAATGATTTTACCAATATACCGTATATATTCGCTTATAAGTCGAATCCAACAGCAAAAATTAGAGATCCATATATGTCACTATATAAAGTGCTAATAGATCTGGATGATTGCATGTTGCATGGAGCAATCAGTCCAATAAAAACATAGACCCAGATCTGCTAGCTCATTGCACAACTACACATCAGGGTTGGTGTTTTCTGTAAGTATATATTACTTAAACGCACGTATATACACTATGTTTCCACATTGTAATTACGATAAAATATTCCTGTTTTATAACGATATCCATGCAAAAATAAATATTAAAATACCGTTATGTATTTGTAAATAAAATGCTTGAAACACGCTGTCTTTCCTTATTTACAATGAATGTCTGTGTTTGGTCCTTTGTGGGGCCATTTAGATATGTTCATAAACAAGTCGACAGTTAACAAAATTCATTCTACGTCGGGGCTTTGCATATAGTGAAATCCTGGAACAAGCTTTTGTTTGCAAGGTACTTGCCCATGAGCAAGTCCAAAATTAGAGAGGTAGTGTTTAGTTGTAATATTTTGTGTTCTACAAGTTCTGTATATTAGCATCTTTTATTGGCATTGATATAAAAGTCGTTCTTTTTAATAAATAACAGACTACAGTTTTTTTTTCATCGATCGGTCCTTTTTCACACAACATATTCTGGCTGTTTTTTTTTTCCCTTGGAGTCGGTGTCAAGTCAATCTCAATTTTTTCATGTAGACATGTGTATATTGTATTCCTAGACATTTTTGTATAAATAGGAAAAAAAATCTATTTTAGTATGTCAGGTATATTATAATACTTTTCCGCATAAAGGATTTTCAAAATTAAGTCTTAAAAAGCAGCTGCAACAACAAAACAAAAACAAAAACATTAATAATAATCATAAGTATTTTTTATGCAGGATTACCTGTGATACCTGTTCTCAACTCATAATTTTATATATCATTGTATATAAAACTCATGAATCCCGTTCCAATATGCTAAAATTGGTGACTGAAATAAATTCAGGGGGTATGGGTTGTTTAACTTACTTGCCTTTACAGATCAGACATCTCATCTTCCCTCTCTTTCCAATTATAAACATGTTTGACCTACATCTGTGACTGCTAAATGTTTGCCCCACTCCCACCTCAAGCACCCTCACCCCCAAGCATTTATGCGGGCTTCCTTGAAATGCGTGCTAATTTGTACAGACGAGCGTGACTGCAAATATTTGCATATATTAATGAATATGTTAGATCATCCCCTAAATCTCCTAAACAATCATTACAGGTGTGGAGTTGATGTATCGACATAAGGTCATATCTGTCCATATGATTCTAAGATTTATTAAACGTCGACATGGCTAAAACAACAATTCAACATAACCTCTAATGTGCTTTTTTCCGGCATTACAAAAATAAACCCAACAAATAAGGCGTTACAACATGCATCATTTGAAAGACATCCAAAAGACATAACATAAATATAGACTTGGACCAAAACATACAACGTATGACTTAAAAAATGAGTAAGCAAATATTTTTAAAAGTGCGTAAAAGTGAATTTAGTATATTAGGATAAATACAAATTATTTAGGGTTTAAAAAATTAGAGATAAGAGTTGAAATTTACCGGTAAAATAAATGCAAAAGCACCTAATAGGGTCAAAACGCATTACTGCAAATGCACCTCACGCCTTAAGGAAGCTGACTATGCTGTTAGAACGTCTGCCTTGGATGTGGGAGGTCGCGGGTTCGAACCCCAGCCGAGTCATATCAAAGACTTCTATAAATAGTGCTAACAGCTCTCTTGCTTTGCGCTCAGCATTAGGAGGTTAGTGTTAGGACTGGTCGGTCTCGTGTCAGGATAATATTACTGTGAGGAACATGACGTCTGCGGCATAATACCACATTGGTAGACATTACTATAAACTGTCACAATGCGGACATCATACCGATATGACTGAAAAATTGTGAGAGCTACGTTAAAAATCCAAAGCACACACACACACACACACACACACACACACACACACACACACTTAAAGGAGGTAACAGTAAGGAACTTGATTAGCACATAAGACAGACAGATAAAGAACACACGCTAGCGCAAACATTAGCTTTCATCATAGCGGGGTGGGGTGGGTAGGGAAGACATTAGTTACAGTTATTGCATTTTCAGTCTTTATCATTCCAAGACGGAGCTAAAAATTGCTCTCTAAGGTGATTTAGTAGTACCTAATTCCCTAGAGCTAAGACTGCATACCTAAAGGGTATAGAGTGCTAGGCTGGAGGCAACATTATTGTTAATTAAAATTCTTTTTAACTTCTTGTAACTTTGATAAAGGTCCTGCTGAACATTATGTACTTCTGAAAGAGAGACAGGTATAAGGCGAAATTGTGAGCAATTAAAACGAGCACAATTAGAGAATGCTGGCATTCCTTTATGCTACTTTCATGTACAGAAAATTATATTTTTCGATAAATGGCATTAGAGGAACAACATCCCGTCTACAAAATGGCGGTTCCCATGTCAGCTCAGGTCAGTACACAAGAATGTAACCCAAGAATAATTTTAGAGACAATTTTCCTCTCTCATTTTGGTGGTGATACATGAGTCAGATTCATGCATTCTTGCTATTGATTTAATGGTAATTCTTCATTCTAGACTACGAGAATTATAGTGTGGTTGCCTCTGTTTAATTTGGCGAAGTAGCACAGATAAGCGGTACCGTGAGTTCGTCTTCAGAATATTTGGACACTGAAACATTCATTACTGGCTTATATATATATATATATATATATATATATATATATATATATATATATATATATATATATATATATATATATATATATATATATATATATATATATATATATATATATATATATATATATATAATATGAATGTTCTTCTTGATTTTTTAAAAATTCAGTACTCGAGTCCAGGAAATGAAAATGTCCATGCAGAGCTGGCCTTCTTTTGAGAAATGCACATCTGAAGTAAGGCCAAGGTAAATGCCGTATAAGCAAAAGAACACTCATCCATCATGCACCAAACACAGTGAATTTCTTTTCTCTTGAAACATGTTTAAAATGCAAAACTGTAGATCGGAATAGTACATGCCTAAATAGTTCTGGTACAGTATTAATCCCTTGCTGAACGCACGTAAGGCTTATTTTCCAAGCCGCTTCTGGACATTATTTGCCAATTTTCAACGAAGTATATTTCACTGGTTAACGGGAACTTGCACTTAATCATTATTTCTCCATGTGATATACTTTGAAATCAGCTGGCAAATGAAAGGACTAGGCTGGTTTGATGTTTTATGGTACTACAACACAAGTTGGGTATTTCGTGCCAAAACTGTTGGAGTCTAGCACCTTGAGGAAGAACACACCACAGTAGCCGACCATGGCTGATCCAAAAGTAAAATTCGAATTTGCACCCATTCGGTCGTGAGATGGTTATAATAGTCATCGTGCTATCGCACCTCTCGTCTCCATCAGTCGTCTCTTTTGACACACGGGAGGGCTTTCGTAATTTCAAGGTTAATCCTATGGATCAGACCACAATTATCCCCTCACCCCCCACATAGTCCTTTGTTTGCATGGTCTGTTTGCCAGTGACTTGTATGGTGCAGTTACTTACTTTAATAATTATGTAAGACTAGTCTTTAAACTTCATGAGATTATATAAATAATTATATAATATTGTTAACCAATGAAAACAGCGGAATTTAAAATGTCTCTGCTTCCC